ACGGCGGGGGACACCAGAAATGGGCTTCACACATTGTACCCATGTGGGGATTCGAACCCGGGTCTTAGGCGTGACGAGCCAACGCTTTAACCACTAGGCTACCCCACCGCCCTGGTTTACTTTCATGTGAGATGTCAATGGTTTACTTTCATGTGTGATGAAGTAGATGGTTACTTTCATGTTAGATGAAGTAGATGGTTTACTTTCATGCGAGATGAAGTAGATGGTTTACTTTCATGCGAGATGATGTCAATGGTTTACTTTCATGTTAGATGATGTTGATGGTTACTTTCATGTGACTGACTGACTGACTGAGTTTGGTTTTACGCCGCTTTTAGCAATATTGCAGCAACATCACGGCGGGTACTTTCATGTGAGATGAAGTAGATGGTTTACTTTCATGTGAGATGATGACAATGGTGTACTTTCATGTTAGATGATGTTGATGGTTTACTTTCATGCGAGATGTAGTAGATGGTTTATTTATGTGAGATGAAGTAGATGGTTTATTTCATGCGAGATGTCAATGGTTTACTTTCATATGAGATGAAGTAGATGGTTTACTTTCATGTTAGATGAAGTAAATGGTTTACTTTCATGTGTGATGAAGTAGATGGTTTACTTTCATGTTAGATAATGTTGATGGTTTACTTTCATGTGAGATGATGTCGATGGTTTGCTTTCATGTTAGATGAAGTAGATGGTTACTTTCATGTGAGATGAAGTTGATGGTTTCTTTCATGCGAGATGAAGTAGATGGTTTATTTTCATGCGAGATGAAGTAGATGATTTATTTTCATGCGAGATGATGTCTATGGTTTACTTTCATGTGAGATGTAGTAGATGGTTTCATTTATTATGGGAGTGGGGGAAGTGTCTTCCTTATGTTTGGGGTGGGAGATGTGACTACAGGCACTGTTCCATGTTATTTCACTCTCAGTGTTTGGCTTCCTTATGTGAGGGTTGGGAGATGTGGCTTCCTTATGCGAGGGTTGGATATGTGGCTTCCTTATGCGTGGAGTTGGAGATGTGGCTTCCTTGTGTGAGGGTTGAGAGATGTGGCTTCCTTGTGAGGTGGTGGGAGATGTGGCTTCCGTATGTGAGGGTTGGGAGATGTGGCTTCCTTATGTGTGGGGTTGGAGATGTGGCTTCCACATGTGTGCGAAGGTGGCTTCCTTGTGTGCGGGGTTGGAGATGTGGCTTCCTTGTGTGTGGGATGGGAGATGTGGCTTCCTTGTGTGTGGGGGTGGGAGATGTGGGTTCCTTATGTGAGGTGTGGGAGATGTGGCTTCCTTATGCGAGGCGTGGGAGATGTGGATTCCTTATGTGTGAGAATTGGGAGATGTGGCTTCCTTATGTGTGGGATGGGAGATGTAACTATAGGCCTTGTTCCATGTTATTTCATTAGTTCTCAGCGTTTGTAGCTAGTAATGCTTGGACAAAACAAAAGTGCTTAGATTTCCTTTCACTTTTATTTAGTTCTAATTCGTAACATAAAATTGAAGAACTAGTTAAAAAAATAGCCCTCAAATGATTCTCACTACTGACAACAACCATGATTGGATTTATACTTGTCATCAGGACAATTTAGGCAACTGAAGACAGCTTACTAGCAAGAATTATGAAGGCTTGTAAATATTGGGTGTTGACTTGGGTTAAATGAGGCAAATATGTTGCTGATGTCATATAGCCATAGCTCTGAAGTACCTTCAAGTTAGCGTTATGTTCTGTTTCATATTTAATGATGTGCTGTAGCAATACTACAGATGTATAACATAGACCGTGCATGTGAGTGAGTGAGTTTAGTTTTACACCACACTCAGCAAAATTCCAGCTATATGACGGCAGTCTGTAAATAATCGAGTCTGGACCAGACAATCCAGTGATCAACAGCATGAGTATCGATCTGTGCAATTGGGAACTAATGACATGTGTCAACCAAGTCAGCGAGTTTGACCACCCAATCCTGTTAGTCGCCTCTTACGACAAGCATGGGTTACTGAAGATCAATATTCTAACTCGGACCTTCACGGGTCATGTGTGCATGTATGTTGAAGAGGTTGAACACAGGAATAGGGGGAAACGGTATGCTCTTACCACAGTATGGTACATATTGTGCTACAAAGCCTTCGGTCCATTTCGGTTTGGTATACGAGATATGATCATAATGCAGAAAATTGACCACAGCCAAAACTTTCATTCTTATGACTAGATAGAAAACACATTAGTTCTACTAATACTGCGGTATACAGTTTCACCCCTACACAGGAATATAGCAGGTTTCCATATATGGCAGTCTGTAACTAATCTAGGTTAGACAAAGCCACCATCAGGGTATGATGACACAATCAATCATCACCATCACTGGTATCACACGTCTTCCTCAACCCTAATTGGGTACTGGGGACCTATTCTGACCTTTCAGAATGACACCCTGTATTTTTTAGTAATATGGTTGAGAAACAGAGCATTGCTCTTAAGCCCAGCTGATCCATATTAACATTTTATCAATGTAATGTCAAAATATGCCCTCAAAGTTGCTGCTATGGGTTGACCATGTAATATTATTGTCTCCATTACACAGACTACATGAAAAATATAACTGTACACTTGTACAATATAAAAAGGAATATGCCACAGTGTTCCTTCAAAATCATTCAAAATATAACAACAATGTAATCTCCATGGAACACACATTAAATCCTTGCTTCATGCTTGGGCAGATGTTTATAGCAAGTTTAGACACTTTTGTAGTTATATCAACAGATAAATGTGTATCCAAGCAAGTGAATGTTATACCCATACATGTGATAAGGAACATTGTTGAAAGACAGTATAAATTGGCACAACATTATGGACAGGTATGTTGATTGGGATCAAATAACCCATTACGATACTGAAAATTTCCAGGTGTGTTAACACTGTGTAGTCAGATTTCCTCCTTTCATTTCCTTGAAGTGATAGTATTTACTCCATACAATTACAACAACTGACATATCTAGATTATAATGTGATAAACACAACCTTGCTCATCCAGTAAGCCATATTGGTGATGCATCAGCATTGTTAATACAGCATATGTCAATGACTCATGAGTTGCACATCTCACTGAGGTGGCTGTAAACTACCTAGTCGGGATGGCTCAGCTGCTGTCACATGATCCTGTACAGCTAACACTGAATCACACCCTTCCAACATTACCAACAGTATGATGGGCAGATAAGTGACTAAATACTGGGAATACATACAGTTTTGAATCAAGGTTAAACTGCAAATTGATCATGATGTATAATTTGCCACACTGAATATGACTGACAATCAGTGACAATTGTAGTGGAAGTCACGTGTGTCTAAGTTAACATTTCATTAAAACTTCTACAAATAGCAACTTAACATTCCTTAAAATATTGTACCTTGTACTTCTGTCTGATAAAAGTGACATGCTTGTGTGAAGGTGTCATTTTATATCTTTCCATTGAAAAATATATAAATTCCTCAATGAAATGTTTAATTTTTTGGTAAATACATTTCATTTGTCTATTCAAGATAACTTTTAAGAGCATACATCACTTCAACTTCAACACTACAAAGAACTGGCCCCAGCACTGTGTGCAGAGGAGTGTCAGTTTTCATGCCTCATGCTAGTCCCCCCAGACAAGGCTTGGAGAGCCTAACTGCAATCCAACTATTCCAAACATCCCATGAACTTTATCTCAGTGTAGATCGCAACTGTGAATCTCATTCTCAACCACTGGAGAGAAACCACAGGCTCTCGTAGCCAAGGCAACAGGAGAAACTAGATACTGGCAATGCCAGGTTGAATTTGACAAGTCTTACACAACTGAGTGACGACCCCCAACAATGACACGGCGTTTCCAGGCTTGCTGGCTCTAAAACTACACCCCCTATTAGCAATAAACAAGAGAGAGGGGGCTATGAGGGAGCGAGAGGGTCTGAGCACGCAAACGCCGGACAAAGCCCTATCGATGAAGCGAGACAAAGGCTTGTGAAATACCATTTCCCAGCTTCTGTTTGCAACTCCGCTGTATGTCAAACAGTGGACGATGCTGGGGTGTCCCCAAGTAAACCCTACCTCACAAAATAACCAAATTTGTCAACAGCGAGTGGCGCTAGAAAGCTATAGAAAATCTAGGAATCGCTTTTTAACACGCACAATGAGTTTGTGACACAAGACGAAAGACCATCTGTCAAAATTTTCAGGGAGGCCCGAATCCCGACTTTGACCCTTTGTAAGCGTTTTCACATGTCTTACACCTGTTAAATGATTTAACATCTAAGTTGAAAAAAGAAATATGATCTTCTGAACCAGATACAAGCATGATTTACGTAATCAGTTAATAGCGATGATGTTACAAATAATTATAATATAATGACACAGCGCCGACCCATGACTCACGTTGGCTCAACAATTCACGGAAATTTTCATCGTCTGCAAACGCGCACACTGTCTGGAAACCTTGGTTTCCGACATCTTTTAACTCAGATAAATGCGAAGAGGTTAATATTTCATTTTTCTGCCTGCCAAGACTACACGTTATTTTCCAGACATCTCGCTCTAAGTTAATGCATGTAGCCACTGAATCCATTATTACTGCACGATTACTCAATGCGCCTGTCAAATTATGCAAATATATAAAATGACAAAATTGAGGATTTAATCCACATATAACCCGACCACCTTTAAATTACAAGGGAACGGCATTTTTACCGTAACTTTCACTGGAAAACTCGACACATACGGTTACGTGATATTATAATTCAGCTTAGACCGGCAGACAATATGCATGCTATTTATAATAAACAAACGTGCGCCACCGACAATCTGTCAAATGCGGATTTCCCTGTAACTTCTTAACACGTGAGAGAAAAAATACCCCTTTCACCACGGGGTTAGAAAAAATAAAGAAGAGTAAATATACACTCTGAAATCATGATATGTTCAACAGAATAGAAAGTGTTGGGATAAAGACGCTACTTACATGGAGAATCGTTTGCAGCCGCCATCTCTTTCCTCGTGCCGGGATCATGTGACCTAGATACACGAAGACGAGGCTGGATCTCCGCCGGGACACACCCCGAACATCTAATGCGGTCACACGAGAGCTCGTGCGCGTTCGGTTTTACAAGTGTACTATCCTATGATGTTTAACAATGAGAGGAATGCTGCTGACACAATTCCACGTGAAAACAAATGATAAATGATTGACTTAATGTCGTATCATCCATTATCATTAGTTTGCTTCTCAGTGTTAGGCGGCCATAGTTAGCAAGCGACTTTTTTTCTGTGCACAAATATTTAACTTTGTTCAAACTTATGACAAACACCTCCATTTTAAATAAACATTTTAACTTTATTTTTCGTGTCAGTTTACGAATTGGGTTTTAACTCGTTAAATAGATGCTGGGGCAATTCCCTAACTGTGTTATACAAACCTCTCGATGGTATTTGAACTATGGCGAGATATTTCTTTTGTTACTGGCCAACTATATGGTAAGTATGATTGATGATATCAACGGCTATGCAGATTCCACAATAACATGCCTATAGCTGCAGAACTTTAAAAAAAGTCAAAAGTAATCAGGATAATTATCATCATTATATGTTTGTCAAAGAGTTATTATGTAAATTGGACACAGACAGCTGTGGTGGTGTTGTTATAGAGAGGTACAGATCACTACAACGGGGGATGTTCCGACAGAGATGGGGCCGTGAAAATATAGAGGAGATTCACGGGAATGTCCGATGATATCCCTGTTGATATCTCCAGTTGCATTTACTTATTGTTTATTGCATGATATCTTCACCATACATTCCTTGTATGCACAAAATGTAAGCCTGCTTTGGACAGTCCTCAGCGCTAGTCCATGCGGTTTTGTTTCTGGATAAACAAGGCTGACCTCACCCCTACCCCCACCCCCAGCGCATTACTTTAATGTTGACTGCTGGGAGCGGTTAGTTCCAGGAGAGCATAAACTGAACTTGTGTGTCGCCAGCAGTTATTTTGCCGTACTATGAAAAACAAATAGTATATGAGGATTCAGCGGTGTAGTTCTTGGCAATTAGCTGGCAAACTGATCTTGACCAACACTTTGCGATAACAGAAAAAGTGATAAATCTTGGCGATTAGCTGGCAAACTGATCTTGATCAACACTTGGCGATAACTGGAAAAGTGATCAATTAAAGTGCATAGCTGTTTGAAAGTATGGCATCGTACCTGCACTATTGTTACTCTTACTATCGACCCTAGTTGGTTTCGTTCTGGTGTAGACTTTCATGACAAAGCTTTAAAATTGCTGACTGCAGCAGAAATTATTTACTGCCTCAGTAAAGCGTGGTAAAGTATATCGAGGGATGTGATCAAGCTACATATCTGTCAAAACATGTGGTGTTATATTGAATCCGACACGTTCACCTATAGGACCTGCAGTTACCACATATACAGGCTATATCCCACACCTCGCCACAGTATCACACATATTCCTAGTAGCCTGTTAGCACTGAGATGGTTAAGTTGCTTGATCTATAGTTGTTTACTCCGCATCACCAGTTTATACGTATCCGACCTTGGTGTTGACAGTCTACAGCACAATATAATATAAGTATACGACCTTGATAGTGATATTGCCACCGAAACTCAACTCAGCAAATATTTAATTTGAATCCACAACAACAAAAATTCGATCTCGGATGTATATATTCGGAATAGGGATATACCACCACGCTCCAACAATATCCCTGTAATTGATGAATTCGAAATTGTTTGTTGTTGTTTTTTCATTTTGTTATTTACAGTTTCAAACATAGATTGGAACTGAGCGTGTTGGAAACGTCTCGCCTTAATGTTGTGATGACGACGGCTGCCATCAGTTTGCGAGAGAGTGTTGGAAAGGTTGAGAATAATGAGGGTGAATTATGTGAAATGTCAGTGGTATGGAATTCCCTGTATTCTATCTCTCACCATGAATTACATGGAAACACGCTTGTCCATCCTTAGACAGCAAGGTCAGCTGACAAACAAGCCATAATGACGGTGGTCAGGTCGTGAATTATTGTTGCCAAGTTTGTTGAGGATATATTGAGAATGTGGTGAAAAAAAACACTCACAAATTTCGTTTGAAGTTCCTCTGAGAATTTAAACATGCGCTTGCGTACATAGGCAATTTTGTAAACATACAATATGACTTGTAGAGTAAAGCGGGGGACTGAGTGTTGTTTTACGCCAAAGCCTCCACCATTCCAGCTAACATGCAGCAGTGTAAGTAATACAAACATCCCGTGACCACCCTGTCTTGATCTAATCCCATCTACGTCCCAGCTAGGTAGCCCAATCACCATCCCTTCACCAGCCCTCCAAACCTGTCCCAGCTACACCTCCCTCCGTCCGTTCACTACCGCCTCCTTCCGTCACCACCCCTCACATTCTGTCCTGGCTACACCCATTTCCCGTCACCACCACTCAAATCCCCCCATCACCATCCAGCCCTGGCTACCCCCTCCCGCTCCTCTCTTCACCACCCCTCCCATCCTGTCCTGGCTACACCCCTCTCCCGTCACCACCACTCAAATCCCCATCACCATCCAGCCCTGGCTAACCCCCCGCTCCTCCCTTCACCACCCCTCCCATCCTGTTCTGGCTACACCCCTCCTCCCTTTACCGTCCTACCAAACCTGGCCTGACACCCCCACCATTTCCTTCCCCCCTCCCATCATGTCCTGGCTACACTCCCTCCCCTCAAACACCCCACCCCTCTTCACCATCCCTCCCATCCTGTCCTGGTTACGCCCCTCCCCCTCATACACACATCACCCCCACCCCTTCACCACCCCTCCCACCCTGTCCCTGTACTATTGACCTCGTGCATAGTAGTGCAAGTCATTTAAAAACAGGACCAATTCTTAACATACGATTTTAGCAATGAAGAAATACACTAAACGCAGCACGTAAAATATAAGATATTTAGATAAGATATGATATGCATTTAATTGCATACCATTCCATGAAGGAACAGTGACAATTTTCTATAAACTACAAATATAAACATAGCAGGTACAAATATACATTGCTACGTTCCACATGTAAATGAATGTGTTACGCTCTCAGTTATCACACTATTGCTGCGTCAAGACAGCACATGATCCCATCACGTGGATGACCATCACAAGGTTGGAGAAATAGACATGACATGCACAAATGACTGAACACTGTACTATTACCCTTATCCGTTTATCAGCCGAAACCTTCCGACTGCATGCAATTAATTATTGCATCCCCTCTGACGATGACTGAGGTCGATGCTACTGACACGAGGTCAAAGTTCAAGATCTAAAGGGAGGGTGAACGAAGGCGTGGCAGGTTCTACAGCGAAGGTGTATATTATTTGTGTGTAGGGGTGGGGTGGGTGTGTGCTTAATTATCTGGCGCCCATGTGGTACTCCACGGGAGGACTAATGACAGGCTCCCATTAGGGGATGTCCGTTATCTGGCAATGAATGGGGTGTTCTTACTATGACGTAACAATGGCGCACGTTATCGCTGTGTTTATGTAATTTTGCCTCATATCTTATCTTCACGTAAACATCAAAACAAGTAACCTTGACATCATGTTTAGTTTAAAGATATTTGTAGACTTGTTAGCCAGCTGGTGTAAGACAAGAATATACCCTTTGTTTTAGGCTGCTGCTGTCATTTAAGATTCCCTGCCTCAATCTACGGGATTGGAGGAGGGGGCATTTTCTTTTCTGTGTTTTTGTTTGTTAAGTCCTATCTCAACTATGTTGTAACGGCATGTAGATAACCGAAAACCAGTCAACTGACATAGTGAGCAACAATGCACGTGCAACATGACACGTCGTCAACCAAGCGACTGGACCAGACCAACCAACCCATTCAGTCGCCTCTCATGACCAGCATTGGTCGCCTGGGGCCTTTTCTAAGCATCGAACCCCGGAATCTATATACGTGTAGGAAGGATACAATCGTTAGTAGTGCCTGTTCGTCTATTCCAGCTCGTGTGGGGCGATGGGGTAGGCTTGTGGTTAAAGCGTTCGCTCGTCACGCCGAATGCCCCGGTTCGATTCCCCACATGGACAAACTGTGTGAAGCCTATTTCTGGTGTGTCCGGGCTTGATATTGCTGGAATATTGCTAAAAGCGGCGTAACACTAAACTCACTCACTCACTCCAGCTCGCGTACACCGCCACGTTTCGAAGACATCCAGCCTGAACGCTAGCAGCCCCATCACTAGACTTACCCCATCACGTGCATCTTGCACAAGCAGTGCACTGAGTTGACCCATCAAGGTAACATACGAATCAAGATACGTGCAGCTCCTCACAGGGAATATCTCGGGAATGTCTTGCTTGGGTGCGTTTACGGCGGTGTCACGGTAGAGTAGCTCTCGACACAAGGTCGCATACCTGATAGTTGTCAAGTAGCAGATGCGAGCATCCCCTGGTGGGCTTGCCGAGATTTACGACTCCGTGTTCAGGAAGATAAACGTAATGGATACATGATCGGTTACAAAATGGAAATATTTCAAGATTGTTGTAAACTGTCTTCTAATATTATCAGAACAGAAAGGAGTCCAGAGTATTGTAGACTTACTTGGGTATTCCTCGGATTTCTTTGTTTCAAGAATCATTAAAAGCATCCAAGAATTGTTCGCATTACATCAAACATATTTTTAGACCAGACAGCAGGGTCTTGTGTTAATGGCCTATTTCATGAGGGGCTGTGGGGTAGCCTAGTGTTTAAAGCGTTCGCCGAAGACCAGGGTTCAATTCCCCTCATGGGTCCAATGTGTCAAGCTCCTTTCTTGCGTCATCTCCGTTATGTTTCTGAGATATTGATAAAAGTGACGTAAAACTTCACTCACTCACGTACTGCATGTGTGGTGTAAACCCCTAAGTAATCTTATAACAGAAAGACCAATTCTTTCTAAGATAGAAAAACAAATACATTTTAAGTTTGTTTTTAGTTAATATTGAAACCTCTGGATAATGGACCCTTTACCCAAAGAACTATAATATTATAGACGGAAAAGAAGTCAACGATGTTTGTCGTGAACAAACATTCGATATACTGCGACCTGAACGGAGTGTTGTATCATCGTCAGTGTGTTCTC